ACTCTAAAACTTTAAATTTTTATTTCTATCTTTTAAAACTTTGGGTTATTTTTATAAAATTAAAAATTTTAACAATCTACTGATAACTTCTAGATTTGATGTGTACTAGTTGTCAGTTCTGATATTTTAAGGTTTTTGCGATTTTTAACTCTTATGGGAGTTTTTGTAATTTTTATAACTTTGAGTTTTTTTTATAAATTAAAAATTTTTAAGTTCCAGATGGTAATCTCTTGAATTCATCTATGTTATTTATAAGTTTTGATATTTTAGAATTTCAAAATATTTTTTTGTAATTTGAACTTTTAAGGTTGTTTCTATAGTTTTTGAAATGTTAAGGGTGTTAATTGCTAGTTTTAAACTCTTTGGGGACTGTTATTAATTTCCAGATTTTATTTTTGTAGTTTTAAGTTTTGAAAAGTCAATGTATTTTGTGTAATTTTAAACTTTTGAGAGTATTTTGGATAATTTTTTTTAAAAAAATTAGGTCTCTTTATAATACTTCATGCGTTATAATATGTTAGGTACATATGATTTCTTAATCGTTTTTTTATAATATGTTATGGTAGGTCACATGAGATTAATATAGGATATAATTAATATCATTATAGAGTACGATTTAAACGAAATATTCAAAATAGTATTTCATGTATTTTATTAATCTTATTTTTTTCTAATTGTTGGGCTATCGGTTGTTCACATTGAATTAGTATCATATATAATTAGGATTAGGAGAAATTAATATTTAAATAAAATATATAAAATAGTGAATGATAATATTGATCACGAAAAGATTTTCCGAAACTCATGCTTTTAAATGGAGTATATATATATATGTATATATATATATATGTTCACATTGAATTAGTATCATATATAATTAGGATTAGGAGAAATTAATATTTAAATAAAATATATAAAATAGTGAATGATAATATTGATCACGAAAAGATTTTCCGAAACTCATGCTTTTAAATGGAGTATATATATATATGTATATATATATATA